CACGCCCGGGCTAATTTTTTTGATTATTGTAGAGATGAGGTCTCACCAAGTTGCCCAGGCAGGTCTCGAACCCGCGGGCTCAGGCAATTCACTCACCTCATCCTCCCAAGGAGCGGGATTACAGACTGAGCCACCCACAGGCTCAGGTAATCCATTCGCCTCAGCCTCCCAAAGTGCTGGGATTACAGGCTGAGCCACCGAGCCCAAAATTTTTTAAATTTTGTTTTATTTTAAAGTTGGGCGGTACAAGTCAGGATTGCGTACATAGGTGGTTTAGGTATAGGTGAAGTTTTGTGCCTCCCACTGGACCTCGCTTAGGGCTGAGAAGTACCTCTATGATAAGCCTAACAAGTAGGTTTATGTTTTAATTCCCGTGGTTTACAATATATCTATGTGCATGTGGTAATTTTCTCTTGTGTTCTTTGTCGCCAATGCACTGAGTTCCTACAATTTGTGCTCTTCGTGGAAAATACTCAGTGAACATATGCTAGCTATGAGCTCTGCACCCACCCTGAAGAGCAGATAGGATCCGCTATACAAATCCGGAGCATTCATCTCCATCCTGTCAACTTCCCTCAAGGAACGTGTCAGTATAGACTTCCTTGATGAGAAAAGAGAACTAATGTCCTCTCCTTTGCAGAATTGGTCCCATTTCCAAAAGACTTTAAACTGGAGTTTGACCACATCTGTTGATGTTGACATTGTTTCTGAAGGTAAAGACAACACAGTACACAGTACTTGCTATACCTTCTAAAACTGCATTTCTCTAAATAAAAATGTGGTAGCAAAATTTTGCATCCGCTGCTCCCTGGGAAGACTGCTAAAATGCAGACTTCAGAGAGGAGGGCTTCACTTTCAAAGAGTCTGACTCAATAGGTGGGGTGAGACCAAGGACCAAGGAACCTACATTTTAAACCAAATAATTCTGAAACACTCTAGAGTTTAAGAATCGAAGGCTAGCCGGGCTTGGTGGCTCAGCCTATAATCCTGCGCCTTTGGGAGGCTGAGGTGAGTGGATTGCCTGAGCCCATGGGTTCGAGACCCGCCTGGGCAACTTGGTGAGACCTCATCTCTACAATAAATCAAAAATTAGCCAGGCGTGGTAGCACACGCCTGTAGTTCCAGCTACTTGGAAGGCTGAGGCGGAAGGATCGCCGGAGCCCAGCAGGTCGAGGCTGCGGTGGCCGGGAGCGGCCACTGCACTCCAGTCTGGGTGACAGAGTGAGACTCCAACTAAAAAAAAAAAGAATCACAGGTTTCGGGGTTTGTATGCCTTCATTTTATTTTCATTTTAATTATTCTTTTAAATTTTAGATGAAATTATTCTTTTAAAATTTAGATTTTATGGTATATATGCAGGTTTTTTACATGGTATATTGCATGATGGTGAAGTTTGGGCTTCTATTGAGCCTGTCACCCAAATGATGAGTCTGGTACCCAATGGGCAGCTTTTAACCCTTGCCTCTCTCCCTCCCTCTCCCCTTCAGAAGTCCCCAGTGTCTGTTTTTCCCATTTATGCCCGTGTTGTATGGCCTTATTATTATTATTTTTATTTTTGGAAGGCATCTTCTCCTTTTTTAAAATTTTTTAATTTTAAATATGTGGGCTACAATTCAGGGTTAGGTATACAAATGTTCATTATTGTATGCCCTGATTTTAACCTCAGACAGGCCTGGGCTTGAACCCCAGCATTTCTAATTCACTTCAGTTTCCTCATCTGTAAAACAAGCATAGTAACATGCCTACGTCACACATTCTTTGAATATTTTAAACAAAACAACATGTGTAAAGAGTCTGGCACATAGTTGAGACTCAGTAAATCTCTCCTGGCCCTGCTTATTCATGAGCCCTGCTGCCTGCCTTCTCTGTGTTCAGCTTCTGCCCCTGTTGCCAACTGCTCACTCTTTCTAGGTCTGGTATTCAAACTCCTGGAGAGAGAGACTCTCATTGGTCCATATTTAGTCATTACTGTACTTGTTGGGCAAGTTGTCATCCCGGGTTCCTTCATAGGCTGCTTGCCAGCCTATAGAATGACTGTGCATGGATCAGATGCCCTCTCCTGGCTCAGTCAGCTATTGCCAGGGAGAAGCCAGATCACGTGGTACCAAATATAGTCACCTATTCATAAGAAACTGCTCCTTCCCTCAGCTAGGGTCTGTGGATGGAAACTCCTTAGAAGGGGCCCGCGGGTGTGGCAGGAATTCTGAGGCTTAGCCTGTCCAGCACACCTAGGCTTCTCATTTATCCAGCCTGCCAAAGGAATGAAGCGTTCAAGTTCACTGAAGTCTCTATTTAATTCTGACTTTTCATCTCCATCAAGCCAGGAGCACCAGTTTTCAAAAACTGAGACCACAGTCGAGGGAAAATAAAAAAAGGCTTAACCTTAAAATGAGACCTTCTGTTTCTAGAACACATTTTTAAGTTTCCAAAGCACTTTCACATCTATTTCCTCATTGCAGCACTTGTAAACTGGCAGCCACAGGCTAAATCCAGACTGCAGACAGATTTTATTTGACCCATACAATGTTTTTAACATTTTTTAATTAGTTGCCAACATTTAAAAGTCAGGAGATTTCACATAGAAAGCTGGATTTCTGGCTTCTCTAGGGGAAAAAAAAACAGACTTGGATCCTCATTCGGACATGGCAACAGTCAGCTGGAGCTGGGCATGTGCTCACCAGTTGGCTTCTGTCCCCACCAGGCTACCTTTGCTTTTTCACAGTGCCATGCTTGGTCCCGTAGGCATTTAAAGACTCATTCTAACTCCATACATTAGATAGAGAAGGTGATTAAGAGCACAAATTGTCAAGCTGAGCTGTCTGGGATGAAATTCCAGCTCTGCTCCTAACTGGCTTTGGGACCCTGGGTAAGTTGTTTAACCTCTATGGTCCCAGTTTCCTCATCTGTAAAATGGGAATGATAATAATAATAATACTGCCTACTTCATAGGCTTATTGAGCCTACTAAATAGTCAATGCATAATTTGAACAATGCCTGGCACACTGCAAGCCCTAAATAAGTATTAAGTTCTTTAATTGCCCATAATTTCCTACGTGTCTCTCTGATATCTCCAAATTTCTGAAAACTGAAATCTTGTGGCAAGCCAATTTGGTGGCAAAATGGGGCCTGAATTGACATGAGGCTATTCATTTATCCCATTTAGAAATCATAATGTGTTTGATCACAGGGTACTGCTTCAGATCCCATTAAAGGGCGTTATATCTGTTATATGTACCATATTGCTTTTCTAAAGTCCAAAAATTCTGAAATCCAAATATATCTAGCTCCTACAGTTTCAGATAAGGGAGTGTAGACCTGTATTATTATTTGTGTACCCACTTGACAGATGGGAAAACTGAGCTACTGCGCATCATGGCTACTTGCCAAAAGTCTCACAACTTGAAAGTAGAGATCATTTCGACCCTTAGACACGAAGCCTGAAGTGTCTAGTACTGTGGGATGTATTGTGCTCACTATAGGCATGTGGATGCAGGTGGTGGCTGCCAGTCAGGGTCCCCTGAAGAACTGAAGAATGTCACTACTTACTGAGAGTGACAAGCCC